TTCTGTAACTCCATTTTGTTGTGGAGTTTGTGGACAAGATCTCTTATGGATAATACCATGTGACATAAACAAATCACAACAAGCATTATTTAAAAACTCTCCACCATTATTAGACCTAAAAACCTTAACACATTTACCAAACTAATTCTTTATCATTACTAAGAATTGTTTCAGAACAACAACTACATCAGACTTCAAACCTATCAAGAAAGTCCATGTCCATCTAGACTTATCATCAACTAGGGTAAGAAAGTCCTGCATGCCATTGTGAGTGTCTACCTTATAAGGACCCTATACATTCATGTGTACCAAATTAAAAATAGCATTTACAATTGTAATACTATGTGGAAATGAACGTCTTGTTTGTCGAGCCTGAGGACATACTACACAATGATCAATGGTAAAGATACTACTAGTATTTAATCCTTTGATCTTTATAAGTACTTGCATAGGAACATGTCCCAAACTTTTGTGCCAAAGTGCAGGATCTGCACTTCTTTTCTAATTGCAGACATTATATAAACCTGATCCTTTTGTGGTTTTGTACTCCAATCCATGACATACAAGCAATCTTCCACTTTACCAATCCCCTTGACCTTCCCAGATGAGAGATCCTGGATAATGCAAGGTGTTTGAAAGAAAGAAACACAATAGTTTAATTCTTTTGTCAGTATGTTCATAGACAAAAGGTTAAATCTGAAGTTTGGTATACACAATACATCACTAATCATTATAGTATCATTTAATTTCAAGCTTCCAATGTGAGAGACTATTGCTGAATCTCCTATAGGAAGTCGTACTATCCCTTTACTTCCTATTATGTGCTTAGTATGGAAATATGCATGATTGTATATCATGTAATCTAAGGCTCCAGTGTCTACAATCCATTTCAAGTTGGGAATATAATTACCTGCCAGATTTGCACTGCTATGAAAAGATGAAGGTTTTTTGTGACCTTGCAATGTACCACGCATTTGCTGAATCTGTTCTGTTGATGCCTTGTGTAACATCTCTAGCCATTGTTCAGGTGCATCTGCTTGTACTAACCATCTCATGTCTTCTTGAACCTGCACATTTTGTAGTCTTGAATGCATTTCACTTCCTCCTAAAATTGCATAGTCTTGATCGTTCTGCGACTGTGCTCTTCTTTTACTAACAATATTAGCTTTCTTCTTTCCTTTGAAATTTTCTGGATATCCAATAAGCAGATAACAATTTTCCTTCCCATGACCTGTGGAATGACAATTGTCACACTACTTCAATTTGTTGCAATCAACTATAACATGACCTCTCATGTTGCAGAAATCACTAGTAAAATGATTGATAATTTCTCTTTGGATTCTGGGAATTCTGAGATTGTCTAGATCTGGTAGTATACATTGCCAATGATTCCATACTTTCATTGACATTGCCTGCAATTTCTTTTTGACTTTCGTCCTGAATTATTAATGCATATGCTTGGTTGACATTTGGTAAAGTGTTTATCATTAGAATCTGACCTCGAGCTTGAGAATAACTGTCATTCAATCCCATGAGAAATTGAAGCAAACGTTGGTACTGCAACTGCTCAACATATTCCTTAGCCTTATAGCAGTCACAATTAGGTGGAGGCAAGATAGAATCATACTCATCCCATAAGTTCTTCAATTTTGTATAATAGACAGAAACACTGAATACTCCCTGTGTAAGAGTAAATATATTCCTGTGTAGTTGATAAAGTCGTGATCCATTGATCTTATCAAATCGTTCTTTGAGATCAAGCCATACCTGATTAGCACTGGATGAATACATAATTCCACTAAGTAGTTCTTTACTGACATTGCACATAATGCATGATATGACAATAGCATTGCAACGATCCCAAATCTTCCTCAAATTTCCTTCAAAATCAGTGCGTAGAACAGATCCATCAATAAATTCTTCTTTATTTTGTCCAAGCAAAGCAATCTCCATGGCTCAACTCCACAGGGTATAGTTATCCATTCCTGTCAACTGAATTCCTACAGATAAAGCTCTTGGTATATCCGAAGAGCTTAAGTATAAAGGATGATTGTGATCGATCGTCAGCGAGCTTCCATGGGAAATCTCTCCCTGTGATCTGGCATTCGATCCTCCTGATGTATCATCCTCGATTGCCATAGATTAGATCCAAAAATTCTCATGAAGAAGAACAGCAATAGTAAAAAAAGGGAAAAAAAGGAAATCGAATCAATAACACTGAAATCGAATCAATAACACGATCCCTAGATGCGTCCTCGTTACTCTGATACCATGTTAAGTTTAGTTACTGAACAAGCAAAAACTTAGACAACAATGAAGAAGAAGAAGAATTCATTGACATGAAAACTGTAACTACAACTGAATGAAAAATATCTGATATGATATTCAATGAACTAACACCTATATATACAAAATAATCAACTCACTAACTGTCTAACAAATTGCTAACTAAGTTAATTATTAGTCAATCATTAATTGACAGTTGTACACTTTATTAACTGCTCAACACTAACATGTATGATGTAACCCGCTGTAAAGATGACGAGAATCAAATTGTTCTTTGATGTGAAGAGCAAGAAACCATTTTTTAAAATCGTCGACTAAGGTTGAGAGAAAAATAGTGATAACACATCGACTTAGGTATAATTCTAGATATATATCGTCGTCCGGGCAGCGAAAGAGATTTTTTGTTGTATGTTTCAAATTGGATTTTCAACAGAATAGTTGATTTAGCTCATAACCCATAAGTTCGTCCGGGCAGTGAAAGAGATTTTTTGTTGTATGTTTCAAATTGGATTTTCAACAAAATAGTTGATTTAGCTAATAACCCATAAGTTGCACCGCTAGGAGAAGACGAAATTTGAGGGAGATGATCCAACATTTTAACTCGAAGGCCATAGCAATTGTTAATAATATTCCAAAAAGCAGAAGAAATAGGATCTAGAATGATCTAGAATGGAAAGAAAATGTAGCGTGGTTTGCTAAAATATCAATCATGCTAATTAGTATTTTACCCCTGCATGGTAATATATTACGAAATTGCCCTTGATCGTCCTACTCTTCATGCTTCTTTTTAATTTTCAATCATGCTAATTAAAAAAATTATAACTAATTATATTTACAATTTTTATTTTCTTTATTTTAATCTAAATTCACATTATATTATAATTTTTAAAATTTTCTAGCACTTAAAAGAATAATAAAAATTCTCTATCAGATACATCTCTCTCCTCTGGTTGATACATCACTATCTCCTCTCGAACATAAATATCCTCTCTCCAATACATCTTCATCCCCTCTTGAATACATCTCTATCGTCTCTTGGATACATCTCTCTCCTATCGAGTACATTCATATTCCCTCTCAAATATAGCTCTCGATTCTCGAATTCATCCGTGAGTTTCCTGAATAGCAATGTAACATGATCGATGTATTCGCATGTCTGCTGATTAATCTAAATTTTTTTAATATTAAGAATTTTTTTGTAATTTGAAAAAGAGTAGAATATATTGTAATTTACTCTTAAAACTATGAAAATTTATGTCATTTTAACTTTAATTTATATGATATATATTTCTCTGTAGTCAATTTCTAAAGAATGATGTATTAATATATTTAATAACATTTTGATTTTAAAATATACATTTTATTATTAGTAAGAAGATTTATAGTCATATAATATTTGTTTTAGACCATGAATTTTAAAAATATTTTTTTAAAAAAATATCCATTTTAGGTTGAATAAACATTACATAAATCAAAATAGAGTGCGCACAAATTTTAGTTAAGTTTTTTTAAAAAAAAAAATCTATTTTGTTGTTTAACATAATTTTAAAAGAAAATGCTAAATCTTTTTCACAATTATGTTTCATAATTTTTTTTATCAACATCTAGTCAATAATAACAAAACTATGTGTGTGTGTGTGTATATATATATATATATACACGGTAATAAAGTATTTAATTTTGAAATTCAAGTATTGATATTAATTGAGAAAATATTTATTTATAAATTGCAGAACATTCATAATCTAATATTTAATATGCTTCTTACTCTAGACGAATGCCACTAATTTATCATAATTCAATATTGTAAAATAGAAATCAAGACTAAAAAGTTCAACTCATTATTATATGAAGGTCAATTCGTAGTTTATCTACTGTGGAAGTTTCCTAAGTATATGATATACAGCTCTATGACAAGTTAATTTTGATTTCATATATTTAAACTATTTCAAGATTTATCCCATTAATTGATTATGTCTTTTCTTAAACTACAATTATGCGATCATTATTTATCAATTCTAACATTATCAACTCTATTTTTTTTATCTCTTTAGAATTGTGCTATTTTTGTTTTATTATTTAAGTCATAATTTTTAAATATAAAATAAATATTATGTTGGAGACAAAATAGGTTAAATTAAATTTTATGAATACTTATATTTGATAAACATTATATATAATTAAAAAGGATACATACATGGAATCAAGATAAAATAAATATTATTTTGGAGATAAAATAGGGTGAAATAAAACTATATGAATGCTTATGTTTAAAAAATATTATACATAAGTAAAAAGGAAATTATATGGAGATTGGAGGCTTATAGTAAATACGATTTGAATTGTCAAGAGTATAAAAGTAAATATATTTTTCACATTTTTATTATAATCAAACAAATACAAATTAATTTTTAAAAATAAAGTAAAATGAATTTGTGAGCCACACATGCAATAACACTTTTTGTGACTCTTGAAAAGAAAAATTAAATTCTTCTAGAACCCTATTTTGACAATTAATTATATAATTATAAATTTAAAACTTTGTCCATAATAATGTTTAAAATTATTAACTTTCCATTGATCATCCTCATCATGGCTCTTCTATATATACTAGATGAGCGTAGCCTCTGCTAAGCACGGCCCAACATTTTACATTTTCCAGATATTTCATAAAGTTATTTGTGAAGGAATAGTAGTAAAAAAAAAGAAATATGTAGATGAACATAATGCTATATCTATTTCTTAAATGTGCAAATACCGTCAATACCAAATAACAATCATATATTGTTATCAGCCCTCAATCAAGGAGAGTACCTTCAAAATTAACATCATTTATTGACAACATAAATTCAAATATTTATAGATATAATTTTGCAATATAAATGAAATAATACATCATTAAAAAATAATGTTGAGTTGAACAAAACTTTCCATAGGACTGAAGAGTGAATATTTCTACTCCATCTGCTTTGTCTTCAACAGTCCTTATGCCGAACAATCGACATACTTTGATCAACCTGAGTTATAAAAAGGGAAAAGGTTTCCTTAAATAAACACCTTTATAGAACTTTATATTTTAAGAGGCTAGAATATATGACTAGACATATTAAAATCGAATAAGCTTGACTGTTTTTCAAATGAATTCTCTCTACATTTTGGCAGTGTCACCAAGAGATGAGGAAATTAATCATTGCCTAGACTCTTAAGGCATGACCAACATGGAAGAGGTTTAAATGCAATACGAACTTAGAATCACACAACTTACCTCATAAGAGAATCAGTGATACATTTTTTCTTTTCTTATGTTGATAGATAAGAACTAAAAATATTCTAAAAATCTAGATGTTTACCTTTTTGCGAATAAAGTTTTCCCTCACATGATTTCCGCTGTATAAGAAATAGAGAAGAGAGTTGTTGTAGATGCATCTCTTAAATCCACGAAGCTATATGTGCTCTGCACTCAAAACCATGGAAAAATTTAAAATCTAGTCAAAAGATTATAACTTAGTCCAAAGCCTACAAGTGAAATCAGATTAGTAAATCAATAAGAAAAGGATAGTTTTCGAAAAACTCGCTGATAAAATTAAGCTCCAACACGAAAGCTTACTGCACTAACAGAGGATACCAGTAAAATATTAACTAATAAGTATATAAAATTGATTCAAAAGAAATGTGGAAGTAGAGAAATGAACTGACAACTATTTGGAATTTCAGCATTACCCAAATAATTTTTAAAATCACATGTAAATTTAAGAAAGCTTTTTATATGGAAACAAAATTCACAATCCACAAAAAGCTAACCGGTAAATTATCAGCATCATATAATCTGATCACATTTAAAAAGAGCACCAAATTTGTAATGGGAAATAGTAGTATTCGTCATAATTTGCTGCAACCCACAAAATGATACCTCAAAAAAAAATCAAAAAGAACATGAAGTCTAATTTAGTTCTTGTTGAAAACTAGGCACCCATTAAAATATCATGTCAGAGAAAATGATAGACATAAAGACACTGATGATCTTAATTTGGTGTAGAAACAGAAAGTTATTACGTGCCGAGGAACTTATGCCTTAGACCATATATGTAGAAGCAATTCACAATTAAATCACAAATAAATTAACTTACAGTAATTTATGAAGCATTAATAGGAGGGAGTTACACAAATTGTTATCTCAGACCAACCATTTATAAAGTTTATCTTGAGTCTATTGAGTAAGTATTAACTAATGACATCAAATTTAAAAGAAGAGCTAGTTATCAAGAAAACATCAAATTTAAGGATGCCTTGTGTAAGCTCGAAAATGTTGAACTACTGACATGCTAAGTGTGTTCACTAAGCATTTGTCTAAAATTCAAAGTTATGCAATGAGGGCATCAAATTTCTCTGAAGTTATTGCATATCAGTAGAATTAATATAAGAATCAAGAATACACCATAGATCACCATATTTCTAAGATAAAAAGATGGTTGTCCAGTAATAGAAAGTGTGAGCTCTTCAACTCACATATATGTTAACCTCACACAAAAGATAATTTGTAAGAATTTCTTATCATTAATTTAGTAATGGATCATATAGTGATACATACAAATTAATATTGGATAGTGATTTTAAAATTATCGAGGTTACTGGTATCCTAGATGTTAGATGTACTAACTTATCATTATAAGAAGCTTTTTATGGTAGATGCTAATTATAGGTGAAACAGAACTTTGCAACATTAGAAAGCTATGTCTAATTAGCTTATTTGGAAGCATTAACTTATAATTTAATGGATTTTTTATTATAATAAGTTTATCCGGTTATAGGTTAAACCGCTAAGGGTCGTTTGGTTGGAAAGAAGTTATCCCAGAATTATTTATCTCGAGTCAAGTCTTATCTCATCACTAAGGTATAAAGTGTTGGATAAGTAGTCCAGAACATCCAACCAAATGCAAGATAAAATAATCATGCATGCATTTTATCCCTAAAATTCCTTATACCTCACACCAAACAACTCCTAGGAGAAATAGGACAAATCGATAACCCTAAAGTCCAATAACGCTAAATCGTTCTGCACTATTAGTCTATTACATCAAAAACACAATATCGATAAATCAATAACATCTTTTGATTCGATTTATTGATTTTACCTGAAATATGTACAATAATATTGTCATCCATATTATCAATTTATCATAACAGAAGTGATAAAAAAAAACAAGAAACTGTTATTCATTATTCATTCAGCTTTCAGAAATTCACAATCATATAGTTTGTGGGAAAAAAAATCAAACTAATAGACTAATGCAAAAATATGATGGAAGTTTTCAATGAACACCCCCTTACTTATTTTTGTTCAAGAAAACATTAGTTGTGCATAGGTCAAACTTACATGTAATTATAAATACCTTGTTCTCGACAGACTCTGTGAATGCATACAATCAAAGATCTCAGCTGAGACTAAGAAGAGATCCATCAACAACTTTGTGTGCCTGGGAGTAAAAAGGCTGGGGTTGGTTCATCTTGTCAAGGCAAAATCAGTGTTTTGGGAAGCGAGAAGCGGAAAAAAGTGACGAGGGCTTGCTTCACAGAAGCGTGAAGCGAAGCGCTCGCTTTTTTAAAAAAAAGCGACATTTAGTATAAAAGTAAAAAAATTAAATAACTAAATAGAGCTAATAGTCTTATATTGAACGAAATTACATAGGCAAAAATACTCATGAGTCATAACATATAAAGCAAAAAATCAAAAACATAATTAAATCACAACGATTCAAACTCCTATTCTTCAACAAGGCTGCTAGACTGATCACAAAATAAAATAAAAAAAGCAAAAGAATTGAAAAAAAAACAGAGGCAGCAGTCAGTAATTAGAAACAGAGCAGGCAGGAAGAAAAGAAGAGAAGAAGAAGAAAAAACTAGAGTAGTCGAAACTCAGAGAGATGAAGAGATGAAGCACAGACAAAGATTGTATATTTCATGAGAAAAGAAACTCATAGAGATGAACTAATAAACATTAGCTAAAAAAGAGATGAACAAAAAGTTACCTACAGTCGCGGTCGAGGTTGAAGAGAGAGGCAGCCTCAGTCGAGATCGTCAGGAGAGAAAGAAGGGAAAGAAGTATTGTGAAAGAAGAGTCGCGAGGAGAGAAAGAAGGGAAAGAGTCGTGAAAGAAGAGTCGTGAGGAGAGAGAAGGTTATATTTCAGATTTTTTTTAAAAAAAATCCTAATTGTCGCTTTTTTTTTATAAAAAGCGCGCTTTATTGTGTTTTTGCCTTAGGGTCGCTTCTCGCTTCTTCATCTGAAGCGAGAGCTTTTTTCAGATCGCCTCGCCTCAAGATAAAAAAGCGCACAAGGGTCGCCTCGCTTTGAAGCGCGCTTTTCTGCGCTTTTCACAACACTGGGCAAAAAACATTGTAAATTCAAATTTCTTTCTTATCGAATCAAAACAGTGGACAAACCATTGAACCATCTCTTTACTAAGATGATTACTATTAAGTCAAACAATACGGTTAACACAAATCAAATTGTTCTACATTTAGAAAGAATAAATGCAATAACTTTGAAAAGAGTATTTCAAAAACATGATCATCTATAACTATGAAATTATCATTTATCTATAGCTATGATGTTTTTATCAAATATATTTACAAAGAAGAGTGAATGAAAAAAAATTGACAGGAGATGAAAAAAGAGTTTATTTTATTCATCCATAAAAAATATTAGATTGGGTATTAACAATATATTTGAAGGGATTTTTAAAAATATTCAAAAATAAGTCTAATGTACATGAATTCCGTAATCATTGTTATCTAATCCTAATAGACATTTTACACACAATATATCTTTCAAAGAAAATTAAAAAACGAAAAAAACATAGCAACCAAAAGTTTAAGGAAATTAAGTTGAAAGAAAACTATAGTTCACTACATTTTGCTAGATTTTCTCTATTTTTCTAAGATCTTTTGCCTGAAACAAAAGGGTGAGAAGAGAACTTTCAATAAAAGATTTTGCTGAAAATAGCCAAAAAAAAATCACATTAAAGTAACGAAGGCTATTTTTTCAATAAAAAGTTTCAAATTCCTTCCTTTTATAGGCCTCAGAATATCACCAAGAACAAGAACAACAAGGAATAGTTGTTTCTAATTCATTAAAGGTAGACAAAATATCTAAACTGTCATTATGTTAGCTGTGAAATTACGATGAAGTTAGAAATAACATTTAACATACCACAACAAATGAATTAGACTACTTACCTTGATCATTGAATTAATATTGGAAGGATTAATATATTAAACCGTCCATGTGAGTCCAAATGGAAGAGTTGGAGGCATGGAAGCCTTGCATAACCATGATTCCTAACGGTCACGTACCAATTAAATAACTCACTTTTGTTGTCGCCAACAGTGATGAGCTGAAAGAGGACATTCTTAAGTATTCTTGAAAGTTGAAGGAGAACTGAAGGTTGTTTTGTTTTGGAGAATAATCGAGTAGCAAGCACAACCTAAGAATAAAACGGAATTAACATTACTCGGTAGATAAAATCAATTTATCATGTACAATATATTTAACACGCCAATTTTATATAAGTAATTGAGAGGTCATTCAAAAGGTATAATCAAAAGGAAGATCATATACTGGTCACAAATTACCTCCCCTGTCCTGGGGTCGAGGATCAAAACTTTTTTATCCTAATCAAGAGATATCTTTGTTGTACATTAAAGGCTAAATATAATTTCAAAAAGAGTATGTAAATTCTATTACTGTGATTGACGCGGATTAACAAATTTATGTGATGCAAAATCAACAAATTGTCGTTGATGAAAAGCTCAGTATGTTCCACATTGATAGTTGGCTTGATATGTTCCTCGGCAGCAACCATTGTACCATAGTTATAAGCAGATGTTTTGTCCAGATGAAATTTTTTTTCTAGACAAAAGAATTTTTTTCAAGATAATTCTCTAAAACGTCAGGTCCAACTCCAACTCTATCTAATCAAATAGAGGAAAGATATAACATCTCAGATTATACAAAAAATTAAAGTTGTTATTTATTGTGATTGTATAATGCTCTTTACATAATTCAAAATAATATATCTTACCCTTTTTATCGCAATCAAATTTGTAAACATATAAGCAAGGAGTCTCTAAGAGCAAAATTGACTTTGACAACGAATTTAATAAAAGTTGTTGCTTGTTTACATCAAATGCAATTTGTATAGAAAAACATACTTGAAGAGAAATAAACATTTATCGTCATCAACATCACCAAATAGAATAACTTGATATCATAATTTTTAGGTTTATTTGTAAGAACTCTTGAGGATAATTATTATATGTTAATAATACACTTTGGGTTCTTCAATTGAGCAACTGTAAAGGATAGCGTGAAAAAATAAATGAATAAGCTCACACAAGTTTTTGAGCTAGATTTCAGTGTGCAAGATTTGCACGAAGTGAGAAGAAGATGAGCCATTAGTTACCGATCGCAGTAATTAAATTTCAATATCTGTCAAAAGGGCATAATCACTATGAATTTAACAATTGCCTATCTCTTCTATAAGGAATCACGATATGGTAGACATTCTAATACAAAGTTGGAATGAGAAAAAGAACTTAGAGCTAAGAGTACAAAGCAATTGAATTCAGATTACAATGTCTGGGATTGAAAAACCTAAGCCATAAAATTGAGGGAGACAAGTCTGAAGAAAACTGCTGCAAAATTTGAAGATTTACATACCTGAAATCATGAAGACCTGCGAATGGATTCATAGTTGTTGGAACAAGAGGGAGGGAAGACGTGAAGCTTGTAGAATTATATGTTTGGGCATAGAGTGAGTTTTAAATTTTGCATTTGGGGTGTGAAAAATTGAAGACGGATTATTCTAGAACTGCTGATGGGTCCGTTTGGATGGACTTAATAAAACTAGTTTTGAAAAATTATTTTTGAAAGTGCTGAAACTTATTTTTAAAATAAGCAGTTATGTGTTTGGATAAAAGTGCTGAAGTTGTTATGCAAAACGTGAAAATGAAAAAATAGAAGAAACAGATGTTAGGGTTATATGGATAATTTTGAGATTGTATAAAAATATTAAGAGAAAAAAATAAAAATGTGGTCAACTTAAAACAGCTTATAAGGTAAAAAAAAAACACTCCTACCCCAACTTTTAACTTTTGGCTTAAGATAAGTTTTTTTTAACTTAAAATAAGTTATTTTGAGTATTGTCAAACAATTAAATAAGTCAAAAAACCAGCTTTTAAATCAGTTTGACAAGCTTTTAAGCTGAACCAAACAGGCTCATAGTGAATTGTCACTGTAGAAATTACCTATTTTCCCCTCAAAAATTGATTATACCCACTAAATTATAATTTGCCACTATTTTATACATTAATTACCATTTTGCTATTGGTAGAGAGAGATTAATAAATTTGCATTAATGAAAATATTTATGTCATAAAAATTAGCTATAAAATAATAATAAGAATTAAAGTCATACAAACTTCATTTGCATTATTATAAATCATATGAATTTTTCTTCGTCTAAAATACTGAAATTCTAAGAAATAATAAATAGTAAACAAGTAAAACAAAAAGGAAACGGTCATATAGTAATAACTATTTTGAAGCAAAAATCCTTACAATATAAATCACATATGTAAGCGTTGATATATAGAGTCATTCTTTTGAATTGAGCATCACAAAAAATAGATTATGACAATTTCTAACTCTTGAGAAGTTTAATAATGCTGGAAAAAAATATTCAGAAACATATATCTACATCACAAGAGAAATTGTTAACAAAAAGATGTTGGAACATTACATACTATTATATATTAAGCAAAAAAAAAATATTATTATTATATCATCAAGAATAGTTTCATCAAGTACTTGAGTTTATGGAATATACCCTCTTACGATAGCACAATTTACTTCATCAGAATAGTTGTACCTCATATTCCACATACTTCGAACTCAGTAAATGACATTAAATCACACGAAATTTAAAAATGCAAGAAGAAGTAGAGTAGAATATTAAAAATAAATGCGGTTAAAAAATGAGAGGAATCCTCTCTATTTATAATCAACAAAGGGCCGATAGTATGAACAAGTGTTTGTTGTGTCTTATTTGTAAAGTCATGACCTTTTCGAGAAGTCACAACCCTTTGAAAAAATCATAACTTATTGAAGAGAAGTCACAACTCTTTGAACAAGTCACAAGTTATAAAAAATCACAATCCTTTAAAAAAAGCAACAACTCATCAAAAAAATTACAATTTATATTTGAGGGAAATTATAGTAATTTAACACTCAAGTTATGAGTTCATACTTTTAAGGTAATATAGATAGATATAGATATAAATAGTGAACACAAATATATTTGGGATACTATCGATTAATAGCGATAAAATGTTAAGTTCAATATACCAATCAATATTTTCTTTATCAATGTGTTAAGTCAAAATTTGACAAATAAAAAGAGATGGAGGAACTATCTTTTTAAACAAAAGGCATGCCTAAAGAAAATAATTATAGTTAAATAAAATATTTGTCCTAGATAAAAGAAAAAATGATAGTATTTAAAAATAATTATCGAAATTTGAGTAATCAGTTGATAAATTAACTCTTCTTTTTATTGAGCCTTTTATTCTTTTCCTTCTATGTACTTATATTATTTTTTATGGATAAATTGTAACTAAGTCATGATTACTAACATAATTAATTAAAATAACAATAATTTAAAATATTTATTTAAAATGATAGAATGACAATATTTTTAGAAAATAATATGTATTCATATTTAGTATATTTTAGAATTTTAAATTAATTTTATTTATGAAAAGAGTTATTTATTGGAGTAAAATACACACTAATAACCGTTTTAAACTGAAAAAATTAAACTAATACAATTTACCTTTTTTCATTACCATTCACCTTTCTTTCCCACATTTCATGTTTCTTCACCAAACCTCACCTTTCAAGTTTAGATTCTGTGAGGTGCTAAATTGTTGCTTACCAAGAAATTCTTTATCATTAAACTAAACCGATTTATTAATTTAAGCAGATTTGTCAATTGACAAAGTAATTTTCATCATCCAAAATTATTTTTTTGACTTGATGTGTAAAGCACAGATTATACACATTACGAATGTTCAGTCGATTTTTTTATTTTTTTTAAATATTCGTCATATATTTATAAATTTCAATTTTTTTGTGATTACCTTTTAATTTTTCAGATGTTGTAGATTCTAGAAATTCATATATATGTTTTTTTTGTTTGATGTTGAATACATTTTAATATTTACATTTTTTTAATATGATGTTCAATACATTTATATCATTATACAAAATACAATATAAAAACTAGAATGAATATAAATAAAAATAATATATCTATTAGAATGAGTAGACTTAGGAAAAGAAATATAATTTTGAAGAGAAAAATAAAACACAATAAAAAAATAAAATGAATACAAATATGTTTCTTAAATAACTACAAATTCATTTGACATACCTATTGGAATGAATACGAACTAATAAAGAAATACAAGTTTAATTATACAAAATCCAACATGAAAACTAGAATGAATACAAATACAAATGACATACATATTGGAATGAATATGGTTTAAACAAGGATACAGATTTTCTGGAAAATAAAATAAATACATTGTGAGAAAAGTATGTCAAATAACACAAATAAATACAACATGAGAACTATAATGAATACAAGTACAAATGACATACATATTGGAACGAATACTATTTAAGAAATGATAAAAAATTTTGATAAATAAAATAAATACACCGTGAGAAAAGTATAAACTATAGGTGTTCAAATTTTTAAATCTTAAAAAATCAATTTTTTTAATAGATAAAACTACAAGGTATTATTATAAAATTTCATACAACAACTAGTTTTGAAAAACAAGGACAAATAATTACCTTTAGGAAGAAGGAAGAGATCATTTATTTTAGGTCTCATAATCTTTTGTAAGGAACTTAACAAAGATTTTCAACAATTTAATTTAATTTGAAATATTTCTCCTCTCTTGATTTTCTCTAGTTTGTTTTATATTATGTTTAATTAAATAAAAAAACAAAATACAAAAATCAACTCATAATAAATTAAAATATTATTATTATTAATATTAAACGTATTGCTAAACGATCCTATTAAATATCAAAATATTATTGTTATTTTGAATAATTTTCCTTTTTTTTTGTCAAACCAAGCTTTGAAATGTGTTTTTCTTTGTCTTGTTGTGCATGTTCAACTTTAGATTTTCCTCCTTTGTAAATATTTTTTGTTTTTCCTGTAGAAGACAAATTTTGAGATTGTTTTTTTTAAGATTTTGTTCTCTATGCTCAAAGTTTAATTTTCTTCTTTTAACAGATTTCTATTTTTTTCCAATTCAAATTAAGTTGTAATAAATATATATTTATATTGTCATGATTCTATTTATATAATTTAGAAACTTTAATTATACACGTATCATATATTGTAGGAGTCAATATTTTAAAAATAATTAAATCATAAATTATAATTAATGATAACCTTATCTAATATAAAGTCTCTTAATAAAGCATATATCATTTTATCGACATTCTTAAAGATCTTTATACTTTTAATATAATATAAATACTCACAAAAAATATTTTAAATATTCTCATGTAGAGTGTCCAACCATTTCCTTGTTAACAAGTGCTATTTTATTCTAAAACACTAAAAAATGCTGACATGTTTATGACTACTAAAATGAAGTGTTACATATAATTGTCACCTAACGTGCAAGGGAAGTACCTATAATTGATCTAAAAAACTCACATGATATTCTCTAGCAAAATAGAGGCGAAAGTTTTATCGAGACCTCATATATTGAGAGAGAGAGAGAGAGAATTTTAACAAAGTGGGTTCGAAATATAAAAAATAACACAAAAATATGGCAAAGGGAATTCAAACTCGGATTGGTTGGAAAAACTGAATCCTCTTCACCCTTGATCGAGTGGTGAAGAGGGTTCATGTCACGACCCGCAAGCACCCTCTAGAAGTTAGGGAGAACCCTTGGATCGAGACAAGGCGTACTTGACCCTTTTGGGATCTTGTACAAGCCCTTTAAGTATCGTTCATTATATAAGACATGAAAAGTAGTGCGGAATTAAAACTTTGCACGAATAATTTAATAAAGAAAACATTTTTCATAAAATACTAAGAAGTCTCATCGTCACAAGTCAATCTTAAAGACACGACATAAAAATCATAGGAACACGACCCTTTACATTGAAAGAAAATACATACTAAGTCTTAATAACAAAATTAAGAGACATAGACTATGTCCTCTAATATATGAGGACATACCAAATCTTGAGAGAGTAGATTTCCCAAACTTCGCCTTCTAGATTACAACCTTGCTTCCAAACCTATACTTTTAGAGTATAGAAAGTATGGGGTTAGTACAAATAATGTACTAAGTATAGTTTATGCAAAAACATGCGAAAAGAGACATTTTAGTAAAAACACATTTTCATGCCAATTAAGTAAAACATTCATGAATATAGAAGTAAAACAACATAAGAATCATCATTTAACACGTAGATAATAATTTCCATAATTTTTACTACAAAGGACCAACTTACAGTAAGCTTTTCAACATTACAGTGAAATCTTTTTAACATTTACAGTGAACTATCCCTATTCAAAAATAGTGAACTTCGAAGGCCAAGCAAAGATGAAGTGAACTCATTCCTGTAGGAGTTTCCCTAACTAAGGTTATTCTAAGACTCATCAAGGTAAGAAATGAAGGAAATGCACATACACCTCCTTCAATACACACCGAAGTGATCATCCTCAAGACTACCCCTTTTTGGCTTACTCACGTCGGGAAAACAAGCCACCGCTCAATGACAAGAC